CAATTTTGAATTTTTATTCTGCATAAAAAATGTTCTTCATTCATTCCGTCGAAATGACATCCTTTGAGTATTCGAATTTTTGAAACACGTCCTTTGTAGTTTAATGGTAGACATCATTTGTATTGTGTACGGTGTTTGCAAGGAGAGACAATTTATTTTTTTTTGAATTTTTGACAATGAACAGATAGAATATGATGTGACCTCCTGAGAAACAAGTTAATGTTGGAAATTTAAATTAAATAAAACCACTAAAGAAAAGGGCCGACTTTATGATACCCTACACCACTTTGCTAATTTAGTAGAAATTCGCATAATCATACACGCTTTGATTATAATTGTAATTTAAAGTTCAAAGGACTAAATATACCGAGCATTTGTATCTTTTAAATTCGGACTTGTATTGCCCATTTGGTGTACAATTAATAATATATATGGGAGCTATATCCAAATCTGAACCGATCTCGATAAAATTTAGCAAATATATTTCTGAGCTGTATTTGATATATTTCCCTGAATATCGTTTTTACGGAGTGCATATTACGGCTGCGGAGGACAAAAACAACAAATCGGATGAACAATATATATGGGAGCTATAGCTATATCTGAACCGATTTCGATCAAATTTGGTATACTTGTTTTCAGGTCCAATCTGATCGTACGTGCAAAATTCCATACTATTCGGACTGATATTACACGTTTGGTGCACAACAAAAAGCAAATCGGATGAAGATATATATATGGGAGCAATATCAAAATTTTGAACGGACGGACGGACATGCGTAAATCGACTCAGAATGTGATTCTATGCAGATTTTCAAAAAGAACTATGGGTCTACCTCGTTTCCTTTTACCTGTTACAAAAAATGCACAAAGACATAATACCCTGACCACCTTGTGGTGTAGGGTATAAATATTAAATAAGTGTTGGAGTGGTCTCAATAGAAGACCGTGAGGTCTTCTGTTGTCTATGGAAGATTCTAAGGTCTTCTACCATCTACAGAAGATCTTTGATATTACTTTTTATACCCTACACCACATAGTGGTAAGGGAATTATGTCTTTGAGCATTTGTTTGTAACATGGAGAAGGAAACGAGATAGACCCATAGTTACTTTTGAGAACCTTCATAGAATCACTTTCTGAGTCGATTTATGCATGTCAGTCCGTCTGTCCGTCCGTCCGTCCGCCATGTATTCTTGTGAACAAAATGCAGGTCGCATTTATTATCCGATTGAGATGAAATTTTCCAAACAATATTTTTTTGGCCCAAGGACGAACCCTATTGAAATTGGTGAGAATCGGATCAAATTTAGATATAGCTCCCATATATATCTTCATCCGATTTCGGGTTAAATGTGCACCAAATGGCCAATATCAGCCCAAATGGCCCGAATTTTGGCACATGTGACCGAGATTAGCCTTAAAGCAAATACAACAAATTTGGAGAAAATCGGTGCAGAAACAGCTATAGCTCCCATATATATATTCATCCGATTACGGGTTAAATGTGCACCAAATGTCCACTATCAGTCCAAATTACCTGAATTTTGGCACACCCAACCGAGTTCGGCCTAGAAGCAAGTATATCAAATTCGTAATATGCACTCCACAAGAATGATATTTGGTACCAGATATAAGATACAGCCCACAAATAGCTGTTTGTAATTTTATCGAAATTGGTTCAGATTTGGATATAGCTCCCATATATATCTTCATCCGATTTCGGGTTAAATGTGCACCAAATGGCCAATATCAGCCCAAATGGCCCGAATTTCGGCACACGTGACCGAGATTAGCCTTAAAGCAAATACAACAAATTTGGAGAAAATCGGTTCAGAAACAGCTATAGCCCCCATATATATATTCATTCGATTTCGGGTTAAATGTGCACCAAATGTCCACTATCAGTCCAAATTACCTGAATTTTGGCACACCCAACCGAGTTCGGCCTAGAAGCAAGTATATCAAATTTGGAGAAAATCGGTTCAGATATAGCTATAGCTCCCATATATATCTTTCATCCGATTTGATCTTTAAGTCCCTAACATTCCTACTATGCACTCCACAACCGTGATATTTGGTACCAGGTATTAGATGGAGCACAGAAATAGCTGTTTTAAATTTTATCGAAATCGGTTCAGATTTGGATATAGCTCCCATATATATCTTCATCCGATTTCGGGTTAATTAACCACCAAATGGCCAATATCAGCCCAAATGGCCCGAATTTTGGCACATGTGACCGAGATTAGCCTTAAAGCAAATACAACAAATTTGGAGAAAATCGGTTCAGAAACAGCTATAGCTCCCATATATATATATATTCATCCGATTTCGGGTTAAATGTGCACCAAATGTCCACTATCAGTCCAAATTACCTGAATTTTGGCACACCCAACCGAGTTCGGCCTAGAAGCAAGTATATCAAATTTGGAAAATCGGTTCAGATATAGCTATAGCTCCCATATATATCTTTCATCCGATTTGGTGTTTAAGCCTCTCACATTCGTAATATGCACTCCACAACCGTGATATTTGGTACCAGGTATTAGATGAAGCACAGGAATAGCTGTTTTAAATTTTATCGAAATCGGTTCAGATTTGGATATAGCTCTCATCCGATTTCGGGTTAAATGTGCACTAAATGGTCAATATCAGCCCAAATCACCAGTCTAGAAGATAATACGTAAAATTTGGATAAACCCGGTTCAGGGATAGCTATAGTTCGTAAAATGCACGATAGAATTAGATAGATTTTGATTTTGTACCAAATATCTCATAGAGCTCTGAAATGCCCTGTATAAACCTTTTTACGAGAGCTCTACTAAATATGCATAGTGGTGTAGGGTATCATATAGTCGGCCCCGCTCGACTTTTGAGCTTTCCTTACTGGTTTTTATTGCGAGAGAAATTTGTACTATGTATACGGTAAATAAAAATTATCCTAATCGTCTTCGGTCCGGGATTGGAATTAATTCTTCAGCTCGAGACCTGGATAAGTTCTCAAGCTGACTACAAGGATCTACGATACGATTACGTGAGACCTTAATAAGTACTCAAGCACTACGAGGATATTCAAGGATACGGTTGCAGGGGACTTTAATAAGTACTCAGGCACTACAGGATATTCAAGGGTACGGTTGGAGGAGACCTTAATGAGTACTCAAGCACTACGAGGATATTCAAGGACACGATTGCAGGAGATCTTAATAAGTACTCAAGCACTACAAGGATCTAGGATACGGTTGCTACAGACCTTAATAAGCACTGAAACAAACTACAAGGAACTTAATTAGTACTCAAGCAGACTAAAGGAATATAGGATACTGGGACCACAAGGATATTCAAGATTAACATCGGGATTCAAGGATTAGAGATCTGGATGGGTACTCCAAGGAAAAATGCCAGTTACCGAAGCTGGTGTTGTCACGTTCAAGGTCTGGCACTCACTTTTGTCCATAGAAGAGCTTCTATTCTTCTATTGTCCATCAAAGAGCTTAAGGTATTCTATTGAATATAGAAGAGCTTGAGGTCTTATATTTATAATCTGGTGAAGAAGGTGTTGCGGTGAATAGATGACCTCAAAGTCTTCTATAGGTTATAGAAGACCTCAAATTCAACAAGGTGTTCTATGGACACTAGAAGACCTAAAGGTCTCCTATAAACAATTGAAGTCCTAAAGTTGTTCTGTAGACAATAGAAGACCACAAGTCTTCTATATACGGTACAATACATCAAGTCTTCTACAGACAGTAGAAGACCTGAAGTCTTCTACAGACATTAGAAGACCTAAAGGTCTTCTATGGAGAATGGAAGACCTCAGATCTTAATTGGTGAATGGAAGACCTCAAGGTCTTCTGTGGACAATAGAAGACCTTAAGGTTTTCTTATGTACAATAGAAGACCTCATTGTCTTCTATGACCTCAAGGTCTTGATTAAGATGCCCATAATGTAAAATATTGAATATCCACCTGCTTAACTTGAGAAAGGATACAATTTTTCGAACATATCTACATAATGTTTCTTCCTAACTAAATTATTATACCCTCCACCATAGTATGTAGGGTGTATTAAATTTGTCATTCCGTTTGTAACACCTCGAAATATACTTTATAGACCCCACAAAGTATATATATTCTTGATCAGCAAAAAAATTTATGTCGATTTAACAATGTCCGTGCGGCAGTGGAAATCACTCTAGCTTCCGAAGAAATGAAGTATGTTGATAAAAATGTTCTCAAATGTGTATTATGTCTGCAGGATTTTTGGCTTATGACAAAAGTTGCGAATGCAGGTCCACGTCATGTATAGACCCTAATATACGGTTACATTCGGTATTTTTAAGATTTTAACAGAATTTTTAATGGATTTTATTTTTTTGAAAAATGCCAAATTTGTACCAAATGGTAGAGGGTATTCAAAGTTCGGCCCGGCCGAACTTACATATTTTTTACTTTTTTTCTGTTCAATATTGGTCTATTACTTGCCTACCTTTTACAATACTTTAGTGATTTAAAGGACCCGACACACATGACCGCGGATATCCTGTTGAAGCAACGTCACTAAATTACCCAATTATTACGGCATTGATCAGCATTTTTATATTTCGCTCATGTTTAGTTCAGTCCTTTTTTAGGGAAATCACATTGTCAGGTATGGGAATGGTTAGAAAGTCATGTTCGAATGGGGAAAATAACTTAAAGAGTTGCTGTGGGGAACTGAGATGGAAAAGAAAACAGTGTTGTAACCTTATCTTTTGTTGCACGTTATCTGCAAAGCGACTGGGGTCGGTATATTTGAATAAAAGGATATTTTGAAAAATTTTAATCGAAAAAAGTTCATAAAGAATTGATTTGAATTTTGGAAATTAGAACATTGGAAATATATAAAGTTCTATTATATCTGAACTTCATTTAACGAATTTTTTGCTTTTATATCTGTTATAATCTTGTGATGTAATTTTTTACTTTCCTCTTTCTTCTTTTTTTTTTTTTTTGCAGCTTTGATGTGCGAGATAAAATGAACACTGACCAGGCAAGGCATTGGTCAGCACCCGAAGTGTTTGGTTCACGTGCCAAATTCCATTTCGATTCGCAGCCAGCAACTTTGGAAATAAAGGTATGTTTGTTCTTTGTTTTCTTTTTTTTTTTTTGTGATTGTAAGGATAGTTCATGATGGGGTTGAAAAATTCTTGTGTGTTTTTTTGAAAAAAGAAGCGTGTATATCTTCATAGAATAAGAAATAAAAATCGTTTGTTGATTTCAAAAAGAAAGACAAAATCGTTTTGTACGAATGCCTGTCTTCAATTGGCTTCCTTTCTATATTGCCGGACATTCCGTTTGGGTGTTGATTCAATTGGAGGAGGTAAAAGGATGAACATCAATAGAAAACCATTGCCTTTATAGAAGTACGAAAAAGGCTGATGTGTTAATTTTTTATTTAATTCGTTTAGAACTTTATTAAATGTGGGGTTTGTTGGAAAGGAGCCAAAGTCTACGCAAAAAAAAACAAAAAAACAAAAAAAACAAAAAAAAAAACGACTTGTTAAATTGTAGGTGATAATGGAGGGAAATGCATTAAATTTGAAACATCGAGGTTTTCCTCAACAAATACGGCAAATAAATCAGGGCTGTCACAGAAACCATGTCGGTTTTGCTTATTGTCGTTTTTTGTAAACCTATGTTGGTTTCATTTGGTGTCATGAAACCAAGTTGGTTTTGTCAATTTCGAATGTAAATAAAACCAATGTTCGAAGCAGCTGTTGTTGCTTACATGTGTTGTTTGTTTATTTGTCATTGAAATATCAGTAAAAGTAAAGTAAATAAAAAAAGGAATAAGTCGCTATATGTTGGACGAAGAACGCTCAGAAAAGGTGACGAGAAAAGCTCTTAGAGTTTTCAGTAACTCACTGGAGTTGCCGGAGATAGCGTAAGTAATTTTTTTTATTGTGAACTTACTCATAAAGCTGTTTTGCAGATTTATGGTTTATGGTCCTTTAAAAATTATTTAAAAAATCCTTAAAAAATCCACGTTTATGGTCCCTTAAATATTTTTTAAAAAATCTTTAAAAATCCACGTTTATGGTCCTTTAAAATATCCCTTGAAAATTCGTTAAAAAAATCCACGTTTATGGTCCCTTTCTTTAAAAAATCCAAGTTTCTAGTCCTTTAAAAATTGTTTAAAAAATCCACATTTTTAGTCCTTTGAATATTCTTTAAAAATTGTTTAAAAAATCCACATTTTTAGTCCTTTGAATATTCTTAAAAAATTCTTTAAAAAATACACATTTTTAGTCCTTTGAATATTCTTAAAAAATTCTTTAAAAAAATCCACGTCTATAGTCCTTTAAAAATTCTTTAAAAAAATCCACGTCTATAGTCCTTTAAAAATTCTTTAAAAAAATCCACGTCTATAGTCCTTTAAAAATTCTTTAAAAAAATCCACGTCTATAGTCCTTTAAAAATTCTTTAAAAAAATCCACGTCTATAGTCCTTTAAAAATTCTTTAAAAAAAATCCACGTCTATAGTCCTTTAAAAATTCTTTAAAAAAATCCACGTCTATAGTCCTTTAAAAATTCTTTAAAAAAAATCCACGTCTATAGTCCTTTAAAAATTCTTTAAAAAAATCCACGTCTATAGTCCTTTAAAAATTCTTTAAAAAAATCCACGTCTATAGTCCTTTAAAAATTCTTTAAAAAAATCCACGTCTATAGTCCTTTAAAAATTCTTTAAAAAAAATCCACGTCTATAGTCCTTTAAAAATTCTTTAAAAAAATCCACGTCTATAGTCCTTTAAAAATTCTTTAAAAAAATCCACGTCTATAGTCCTTTAAAATTCTTTAAAAAAATCCGTCTATAGTTAAATAAAAAAATCCACGTCTATAGTCCTTTAAAAATTCTTTAAAAAAATCCACGTCTATAGTCCTTTAAAAATTCTTTAAAAAAATCCACGTCTATAGTCCTTTAAAAATTCTTTAAAAAAATCCACGTCTATAGTCCTTTAAAAATTCTTTAAAAAAATCCACGTCTATAGTCCTTTAAAAATTCTTTAAAAAAATCCACGTCTATAGTCCTTTAAAAATTCTTTAAAAAAATCCACGTCTATAGTCCTTTAAAAATTCTTTAAAAAAATCCACGTCTATAGTCCTTTAAAAATTCTTTAAAAAAATCCACGTCTATAGTCCTTTAAAAATTCTTTAAAAAAATCCACGTCTATAGTCCTTTAAAAATTCTTTAAAAAAATCCACGTCTATAGTCCTTTAAAAATTCTTTAAAAAAATCCACGTCTATAGTCCTTTAAAAATTCTTTAAAAAAATCCACGTCTATAGTCCTTTAAAAATTCTTTAAAAAAATCCACGTCTATAGTCCTTTAAAAATTCTTTAAAAAAATCCACGTCTATAGTCCTTTAAAAATTCTTTAAAAAAAATCCACGTCTATAGTCCTTTAAAAATTCTTTAAAAAAAATCCACGTCTATAGTCCTTTAAAAATTCTTTAAAAAAATCCACGTCTATAGTCCTTTAAAAATTCTTTAAAAAAAATCCACGTCTATAGTCCTTTAAAAATTCTTTAAAAAAATCCACGTCTATAGTCCTTTAAAAATTCTTTAAAAAAATCCACGTCTATAGTCCTTTAAAAATTCTTTAAAAAAATCCACGTCTATAGTCCTTTAAAAATTCTTTAAAAAAAATCCACGTCTATAGTCCTTTAAAAATTCTTTAAAAAAATCCACGTCTATAGTCCTTTAAAAATTCTTTAAAAAAATCCACGTCCTTTAAAAATTCTTTAAAAAAATCCACGTCTATAGTCCTTTAAAAATTCTTTAAAAAAATCCACGTCCTTTAAAAATTCTTTAAAAAAATCCACGTCTATAGTCCTTTAAAAATTCTTTAAAAAAATCCACGTCTATAGTCCTTTAAATGTCCTTTAAAAATTCTTTAAAAAATCCAAGTTTGTAGTCCTTTAAAAATTGTTTAAAAAATCCACATTTTTAGTCCTTTAAAAATTGTTTAAAAAATCCAAAGCAAATGAAAAGCGACAGCTCTAAGCAACTTGGTTTATTTCCAATAACAAAACCAATAACATTGGTTTCTATGACAACCAAAACCGATAAAATTCTAATTCGAAAATAAAACCAATAACATTGATTTTCATGACACCAAAGCATTTTTCCCTGTCGTTTTTAAAACCAATAGTGACAAAATTGGTTTCTATGACAGCCCTGAATTATTTGAAATGCCTTAATCCAAGTACCTTCTTCGTTATCAAAGTAAAAAGTCAGGAAATACTAATAAATAAAATAAATTTATATATTCAAATAAAAATGTATGTCAATAATATTCGATCTAAGAACAGAGGATCACGACTACGGTGGGCTGGCCACTGACTTCATTTCACACGCCATAAACATTTCACTTGCAGCATATCCTGATTCAGGGCAATCCAAGAATGTTCAGTCATAATAAATCAGTATAACAGCTATATCACTGCAAATAAAAACAAAAATATGAAGATATATGAAAACAAAACTATTTATATGAAGATATAGCTGTTGACAGTGTGCAGGATATATATCATTTCTATTTGGACGCAATCCGTTTAAGGACATTTGGGGTCGATCAAGCAAAATCGGTCTATCCATCTGCATGTGCGGAAGTATCCGATTTAGGCTCAAAATTTGTACATCATAATATCTTTGTCACACTTATATCGAATTCGATATGTTCCCCACCAAAATTCAAAATGCTGCCAAAAATTCAAAACTCATATTGACCGATTGAGGTATTCCATATAGTAAAAAAACAAGTAAGAAAAGGTCAAAAGTTAGGCGGAGCCGACTATATGATACCCTACACCACTATGCGTAATTAGTAGAACTCCCGTGACAAAAAAAGTTTATATTGAGAACTTATGTGAATTAGATCATACCAACTATGAACCTTACTCGAAAGCGTATCATGGTCTTAGAGTTGTCATAATTTGGGAACTACATCCCACTCTGAATCGATGTTCAACAATTTTGACGGAGGCTTTTGTACCTCTAGTTCAAATAACATTTTTGTATAGTGCATTATATGACTTCAATTAGAATTATATTAAAACACATTTATTGGAGTAATAAATATACCGGACCTAGTTTCACCAAATGGAAAAATTCGATTGAATATAAAAAAAATCTATCCAATTTGAGCTTATATTATCAGGTGGACAATAATCGGATGAAGTTGCACATCGATGGAATATAAAAATCTGAATCACCATAAAATTTGGCACGGTATAAAATATTATTGCTGTGGAGTGCATATTAAAACCTCAAATATATATGTGGGAGCTATAGCTATATCTAAACCGATTTTCACCAAATTTAATGTACTTGGTTCTTACATTCGGATGTGCCAAAATTTAGGTAATTTAGGGTGATATTGGACTTTTGGTGCACAATTATATATATATGAGCTACATCTAAAATTAAACCGATTATCACCAATTTCAATAGGTTTTTTGGGCCAAACAAACATTGTAAAATTTCATCTCAAACGGTTAATAAATGCGACCTGCAATTTATTCCCAAAATACATGGACAGACGAAAGGGCGGACAGACTGACTGTCATGCATAAATAGACCCAGAAAGCAATTCTATGAAAATACATAATACCCTTAAAGCTATGTGGTGTAGGGTATAAATAGCGCAATGAAATTTTCAAAATAAGACTCAGGTCATGAACGAAAATAATAGTTCACTTTTTCTTGTACCTCACTCACACTAAACATTGCACAGTTCTGGTAAAGACATGGAAAGGAGTTCCAACCTTTCTTGAACGTCCCCGTTAAAGGGCATATAAAAATATATGGTCAAATGATGAAGGTATATGTCTGTCGAAATGTTGAAAAAAAATCTTTCTTGAACGCTCCCTTAAAAGAGCGTATACAAATAAATGCTCAAATGTTGAGGGTATATTACTATCGGAATGTTGAAAAAATAAGTAGGTACTCATCCACATCAAAAGTGACCCACATATAAAATGTCGAAATTCTATCTGTTCTCCTTTGTATTTATTGGATTGTGCCAATTTTTTTCGGACCAACTTTTTTAATTCTAGGTGAAGTTCTAGTAAAA